GACGTGAGAGTGCTTCATAAGCAATTCTTGACGATCGACTTATACCTGCTACAAGTACATAGTCAGGATAAATGGCGAATATACAAGTCATTGCAAGTAGAATAGCAATAAGACTGCCTATTAGGATCACGTACTTATTGAGACGATAGGAACGACCGGTATGGATGAGAACAAAACCAGTTAAAATACCAATGGCATAGGCTGAAATGCGACACCATGGAGTCATATAGATTGTGTCATCATAAGTGGGCCCTTGCTAGAATCAAAATTTATAATCAATGAAAGCGGATATTATTATGATGCAACTTACATCCGGTGTGTTTCGTTGGAAGATACTGGCTGTCAAGTACGGATAATGAAGAAGAAGTCCAATTATAGACCCAATACTGAGAGAAACGAAGAGAATCATAACACAGAACCCGATTGATTTTCGTCTCATAATAAATGGAACTAGAGCAAGTGGAGCTAACCAATGAAATTGCATATCATTTTGAAGATACCACGTGATGGGTAGACACATGTTGTCCGGTTGAACCAAATTACTAATATACAGAATTGATGTCCACCACCATTGATTACGACATCCATTTGATTCAAATCCTTGTTCAAATGGAAAAGCAGGTCCGTTGCCGAAATAAGGCGTTAAATTAATGCTGATGAGAATGACAAGTAGATAGACTGGCGTGAGACGAATATATCGATGAATATAATAAAGGAGAACGAATCGAAATGAAAATTTTTGTTTATCAGCCTCTCGAACAAAGACGATAGCTGTCAAAAACCCACTTAGAACAAAGAATGTATCGACACTGAACTGACCACCCAGAATAAGTTGAAAGGCTAGATTATTAGACCAGGCGATAATGTCCAGTAAATTACTTGAATAGAACGCACCAAAAGAAAATAAATGACCAAAAATAACCCAAAAGAGTGCAAGTACACGAATGCCATTGATAAACGAAAAAGAATCATTATTATTATTAGTATTAATCGAAAAGATGCGATTCAGTGTGCGAATGGTTGAAAATTGAGCAAGAAATGCGGATGTATTGAATGCAATTTGAACAGAATTTTTCTTTGGCAAGAGAGATTGTTTTTCACCTTGTTCATCATTATTGATATTTGTTGCTAGATTAGCGGAGGAATCAGCACAAGAAAAGTGCAGAATATCGATCACAGTGCCTGTGAGAACGAGAAGGCCAAGTAATGCGAGAATAATACAAGCGACCAATGCTCCACGTGTTAAGTTTGACCTGTGACGTTGTGCATCTGATGAACATAGAAGACGATCTTCAGTGAAATTGCTTCTTTTGAATAAAGACTGCATAAAATTTTTTATGGAATGACGATCGCATGATGATGGCCAGCAGGAACCAAGGGAAATCCCAGTCGTTGCCGATGGATCAGGAACGATTAGACCTAAACGAGGATTTCGAACTATTCGATAGTGCAGATGAAGAAAATAAGCATACAATATTGAGTATCGAAAGGTTGTTGTACGAAGGATTTGTTGTCAGGTAAATGTATTTGTTGAACACATTCATCGTAGTTACCCACCCAAAAGAGATTTCGTTTGAGTATACCAGATGGAAGAGGTTTACCCCAAGAATCAATGACTTTGAGAGCCCACATATCACGACGGAGTACTGCTTTGACCAATATTTCAATATCTTTTTCACAGGCAGTTGTTCGATTGTTAGTTGATAAAAGTTGAACATATAATTCATCGATCGTACCAGCATAGGATAGATCATCAGTATTGAGCAATGTTTGTTTCTGACGATGAAGTTCATTAATTATGGCATCCAGACGCAGTGGAAATGTTTGATATTCTCGACCAACAATGGTTGGTAATGAAAACAGTGACAACCAGAGAATGACAACCAACATCCTTGTTATCTTTTTCAAATGTGTGGTATATCACATACTCTTAGTTTTAGACTGGTACAGAGACTCTTATTATAATGACATTTGTTTGACTAGTGTCTCTCTTTTTTATTCTTTCATATTTGCGATAATATTTCATCATTACAAGCAAGACATATGATAAAATGAATTTCTAATTCTCTCTATCACATGATGTTTTATGAGAGAAATTGCAATGTAGCCCAAGAGTCACAATATGAAATTACATATATATAAAGGGTTGGGCACAGAAAATGGCGCCACTTTATTACTCATATTTTTGGTAGTCTTATCAGCTTTCAAGGTTTCGTTTGAAGCTCAACAGATGCAGAATTTTCTCTAGTTTCGTTAGATCAAAGGGGAAAAGCGGATTTTTTTTGGATTTGTATCCAGAAAAAATCCGGAAATTCAACAGCAATGTTTCACACTGAATGACGGAGTTTCAATCTAAAATTGAATTTTCAAGAAAACTCGATTTTCGGACTGTACTGTGAAATATGAATATTTCTTGTAAATTCATTATCTTGGGAAGGAAACATCCGTTTGTGGTGAAACTTTTAGGATATTCTAGACTTATATACAGAAAAAAATTCAGATGGAAATTCTATCATTCATGATTTGGATTCTTGGACTTTCGAAATCCAAAATACAATTCATCCATGATTTTCTACCACGAATTCATAATATTCGACAGATATCATGGATTTACATCATTATTGAAGACGAAGACGAAGACGAATTAGAAATTGAACTTAGCAACATCAGCAATAATTTTAGATATTTCATAAGCACTTGCAAATAATAATCTAATACATGCTATCAAAATATAATAAGAATCTGCAAAGAATTGTGAAGTAATTGGAATCTACAAATGTTTCTCAGCAGTAATCGTACAAAAGAAATATTGAAAACTGATAGAAAACATACATTTTATACCTTTCATTCTACCTTTTTTTCGGCAAAGAAAGTAGGAAGATGTAAAATAGAATGCTTTGGGAAAATAATGTGCAATTTCAGTAAAAAATCTTTTTGTTAGATCAAACTGTTAACTAATTAGCTAGAGAATTTATTGCAAGCAATTACTGGTGATCAAACTTGATTATTGATACTTTGCGAATGAACTTAATGAATCAGATACGAATATTTTTTTTTTATCTTTAAAAGATATATTATCAAACAAATCCTTCTGAAAATGCTATTGCTGAAAATAGTTTGAATTCTATTGTTCTACTGATCAAGCTCTTCAATGGTACATAAAAGAACCATTTTTATGTCGCTTATTGAATAAGATACATTGAGTACGAAACATCAATTCATAGTAAGAAAAAGAAAGGAAAAGATTACATTTATCAATAATATTTCATTTAAAAACTCACGAGAGCAATATTTTCCAACACACGATGAGATACGTGTTTATATTTCCTTTTGTTCAAATGATGTGTTTACCTTTGTCAAAGAAGTATCACAATATTAAAATGGTTTTTATTTTTCTACATAGTTTTCTTATATCACGCATCTACTCGCATTGTTTTTGACATTTTAACACTTGTTCGATCTCACAAATTAACAATTCTCACTATCGGAAACATCAACAATTTCTTGTTCCATTTACACATAGTTTTGAATTGTGAAGTGCCAACCCAAATTGTTTCCCTATAGCCAGTTCATTGAATAATCGTTCGAGACTTTTTCAAATGAATAGACTTGATTTTGAATAGAAACAAAAGTTCTTTGTTCAATAATCATCGACAATCAAATAAAATCGTTGTTCTCGTTCGGAATCTTTCATTTCATGATAAAAATTGAATAAGAAAAAAAAAACACTTGGTTCAAGTTTATTTAAAGTTATCAACTGAACGTTGTAAAACAAGAACAAGTCGTCTACATTTTCAACAGAAAACGAAGCAAATGAAGCGGATGCAATAACGACTAAGAAATGGTAATATTATTGAAAATACCACGAAAATCAGCAAAACAACGATAAACGATGTCGACGAACATGACGGAAAAGCCTCATTGTCACACCAAATGTTTATTACTCTTGCTTCAGCAGCGCTAATTTCTTATTGATCTCTCTTAATCTTAGATATATCCATTATTTCTACCCTTTATTTTACTTTAAACATATTTAATTTATGATTTGAAAAACAAAAATGCGACGATAAATAAGTCAATAGCTATCAATAATGTCCACTAGGTTGGCTTCGAATTGGTGTGGGTATGGGTGTAGATAAAGAGACAGTAAACACCCACATCCACACTAGATATGACACTTTAACTTTAACTTTTAAAGTTTAAAGTAACAATTTAACTTTAACTGTTAAAGTAAAGTGAAAGTGCCATATCTAATCCACACCCACACATTTACTGCAGTGCTCCAACAATAGGGTTTAATAAGTACCCCGAGATGAAAATTTAGGATCAAAACATAGCCCGCGACCTTTCCCTTGACGAAAGAGGAGACCATGCAAAGTTTGGTTGCACTAGCTCCTACGGGAACCAAATGCATAAAGAACAAATAAATAAACAAGAAAACATTCTGCTTTGTATATTAGATAGACATTTTCCTGAAAATAACTTTGTACATCGTTTCTTATTTCATATGGTGCGTTGATTTATCTAGAAACTTTCGAATTATATTTGTTTTTCGTTCGAAAGAAATGACTTATTGAATAATAATTAGACACCAGTTTATTAAAACTGTTGACATTTATATCTTACTTTTAAAATGAAGACAACTTGTGAGTTTGAATCATGACAATAAATCAATTTAATATTTAAGAATGTAGAGCTTTGTTTGTAATGTATATATATGCTTGAGAACAAACAAGAACTTGATCTTAACATGCCATGTTTATTCTAAGAATGTTAGGCTTGTTAATAATTATATATCGATGTCTCTTTAAAAAATCGAACAAGTAAAAAATGAATTTAATCGAGCTTTGATTTCATCAGAAAATCAGTTTTGAAATACGCTTCAAACAATGTTAAAGTTAATTTAACTGTTAATAGTGTAGATTTTATTGATAGATAAATGATCCATTCAATTAAATATAAATAAGAAAATAAGTCGATTATTTGGAAAATATTTTATAAAAATATAAAATATATATATAATCTTTAAATATCATAACATTAAATAACCATATTATTTATTGTCATTATCTATTCGTATTTTGAGGAAGAAATATTTGAAAAAGAAAATTATATGTTCTACTATTCATTTCATCATTATTCGAAATTTATTAATCAAATTTATTATAGGATTTTTAAGTGTGCATAACAATGAAAATTCTCATTATATACAATCATTTTTCATAAGTTCCATGTTTATGCATTTATTGTAATAAAACGAAACGTGTTCTTCTTGCTCTACTTTTTGTACACTAGAGTCCATCAGGGTTGGATCATAAAACTTTTGACCCAATTATCTCTTCTTATATGAGAAGGATTCAAATCTAAATCTTAATAACCTTCAATAAATCAGGTTCGGATTCCAAATTCGAAAACTCTGGATCCGGCAGGCTCTATTATACAGATCTACAACGTTTAATCATTTGAAATAGTTCAACTAATATTCAATGCATTGTATTATGGAATCTTATTCGACATATAGTCATTTGAGTATAATCAATTAATTGAGATTTATAAGAAGAATTATTAATGCATACGTTAGTATCTTATTATTATTCATTAGCAAATATCAAGGTTCTATTGGTTATAGATAACAAGAAAGATTAATTTTTCTTTTTTAGAATTAAAATATTTTATTATGTTAAACAATTTTAATCTATTTGTCCATGATTAATCTTCTTAGTTAAAAAAATGAAAATTGAATGAAAAATGTTTATAAATTTATTTTGTGTTTGTTTAATTGGACTTTGTTGAGCTAGAATTGTGATGCCAATATTCATAAGCTCCATGATTTTTAATAACGGTTTGAATTATTTTTTCATGGGATGCATATAAATGATGATCACGATCAAGTAGATACCATTTTACTTTTTTAGCATCATCACCTATAAGAAAAAAAAACAAATATAAATCATTGAGTTTTTAAACAAACATTATTCGACTCAAAATAGATATGTTATAAAAACAAATATTCGATCATTTAATCCAGAAATCGAGATAATGAAGACACTTCTATGTTTTTAATAAAAAACCACAATTAGATTGTATTTAAGCATAAATTAAATTTATTTCTATTCGTCTATCGTTGGTATGTACACTTTCTGTTTGCTGACTACAGACCGACGTCACACTGATAGAGATTTGCGGAATAGCTTAGAGTAAAGCTAAGAAAATTTTTCTCATTCAAGATAGTTTCTTTTTTTTTGTCTATAGATACTAAATAGTGTTCGAATACAAACTCTAAAGGAATTCAAGTTTCCATTGATGTTTGATTAAGCCATCAAATTCTTCATATCCATTTTTTAGACTCTAGATTTTCGAATTTTGATCTGAAACTTTGTACATATAAAGAACTCAACTAGACTAAATTATAGAAAGAAATGCACAAGTTTTTCACAAACTTTTCTCAAGATATGAAGCTTTCAAAAAATGCATGTTGTACACTCTATAGCTTCAGTGTGCACTGAAATTTTGTAAGACATCCTTAGAAAAAGAATATATTTTATTAGAGTTGATATTTCAATTTTGCAGCGAATCCGAATGTCAACATAATTAGTGACCTTGTGAACCCTGTGCTACCGATTCTTTGTTCAGTATTAATATCGATGATCCATATCAAACGTTTATCAATTATTGTAATTATAGAATTTTTCATATGAAATGTCCTTACTAAGATATACTATTGATATACGTATAAATATGTGTTCTGAAAATCAATAACAATAAGAGATTTTATCTTGTTTAATCGAATGTAAGATGAATGAAATAGGACAGGAAATTTGTTTAAAAATAAAATATTTACCAGCTTCTAATTTTAAATTTTTTGTTAATTCGCCTGTTTCATCATGCAT